GCCCAGCCATCACAACACGAACGTACCTGAGTTGGGGAGTGAGGATTGAGAAAGGACAGCACACTCAATAGTGTGGAGACAAGAGGTCCTATTTATTACACAGAAACAGCTCCTTTTAAAGGCAGGCCAACAGGAAGCACCAAGCAACTATTAGGGAGGAGATCAGATCTTTGGCTGAGTTCCTCCCATCACAAGGTCAAATTTAACAAAGTCCTTGAGCTGGGCGTGGTGGTGCACGCCCGTAATCCCATAAAACCAGTCTGGATTACACAGTGAGCTCCAGGTCAATCTCATCTGTATAGCTGAGACCCTTGTCAGAGAAAAGCCAAATAGAGCCATAGATTGTGTCAATGCCTCAATGGTAGAAGTTACTTTTCCAATGTCAAATGCCAGTGGGCTCCCACAATCTATCTATCCCAATTTAAAGATGGGCAAAGAATTTGAATATACATGTCTTTAAAGGAGATGTATGTAAGCGCTGTGGCCAATAAACATGTGAAATATGCTCAACATCATTGGCCATTAGAGAAATGCAAATAAAAACCAAGATGAAATATAACTTTACTTTTATCAAACCCACTAGGCTGTAACAGAAAAACAAATAAACATTGGCAAGATTTTGAGGAAATTGGAACTCTCACATTGCTACTGAGAACATAAACAGCAACACTGGGAAAACTCTGGCAGTTCTTCCAAAGATTAAACATTGCCATATGACTCAGTAATTTCATTTCTAAGCATATATTTAGTAGAAATTAAAACATTCACACACAAACATGTACACAAATGTTTATAACAGCATTATTCATGATAGCCCTGAAGTAGAAACAACTCAAATGTTCATCAGGTGATGAATTGTATATCAAATATGGCACATGAGTATAATGGGATATTATTTAGCAATAAAAAAGAGTAAAGCACTGATACATGGACAAACCTTGAAGCAGTATGCTAAATAAAATAGATAGATAAAATAGGTTGAGGCAGGAAGATCGCTGTGAGTTCAAGACCAGCCTGGGCTACATAGTGAGTTCCAGGTCAGTCTCAACTACATTGTGAGACCCTGTCTCAAAAAAACTAAAAAACAAAAAACAAAATAAAATAGATCTTAAACCAAAAGCCATATGTTGTACGACTATATGAGATATCCAGAATAGGCAAGTCTGTAGCTGTAAAAAGCAGATAAATGGTTGCCTAGGCCCGAGAAGAGGGATAAGATATGACTGGGATATTGTTGCCAATACATTTTTTTGGAGGAGTAGGCAGATGATAAAAATAGTCTAAAATTGGTGGTTGCAAAAAACTCACACTGTACCTATAAGATGAATGAAATCTCAATATATCTGTTGATTATAATATTTATATATTATTTCAATACATGTAAAGCATCAGTCTTGTAGAAAAAAGCTATGGACATTGCCTGGAATTGAAAAGACAAAGAATGGAAGTTCAACTCCCTCCCCTGCCTTCCTGCCTTCAAATCACCTGGTTCTGTTTTCTAGAAGTCCAGAGAAGAGATAAAAATATTTATAAAATAGAAGTTTCATTTCTTTGATGGGAATGATTTATTTTCCCATAGTACCTACATTGCGGGTTACATCTTTCTCTCAATGCTATTGATACAACAAGAGCAACATTCTAATTAGCTGTTTTGGTGATAACTATATATTTATTGGGAAACCTCTTGGCACAAACGAAAGCTTACCCATCCCATGAAATCCTTTTGACAAATTCTGTGCTGCATTAGAATAATTTCCTACAAAAAGGTTATAAGTTGCTGTGTTTGATGATTTTTGTGTGTTGAATTTGAGGATGTTAATGCCTGCATATCAACTGCAGCTTGTTAAAGAGAAAATGTACACGTGCACATTTGGCTTATTTGGTTTGAGGTCTGTATCTTTTCTAGTCACTGCTTTTAAAATTCTCCCTTATGACAGAGCTTATAGTCCCTTTAATTATATTCTTGAGACACTGTCTTGCATAAAAGTGCTTAATTTCAAATGAATGATAAAACTAGGATGTCGTCTTCTGTCATAATATGTAGGTTATAGAACAGTTGGCATGTGATTGGTCTGGGGTAGCAAAGGAAGTATTTGAAATAGAGAGAATGATTGATTTTCTATTATTAAACCTGCTCACAGGTGGCAATAAGACAGCCTCCTTATCTTGCTTGGATGATACATATAGAGTCACACTGCATACAATTCAGTCTCTGAATGGATTCCTATTTGAAGTACTGCTCAAACAGGTATTTCAGCTTTACTCAGACTCTAAAAATTAGCAAGGCTCTAAGTCATAATTCATGATTAATCTTTAAACTCTGCCCTCAGCTCTCCCATAACATGCCGTAAGTACCAGAGGCCTTTCTTTGCCCTCCCTAGCTTGCCCACACTCCATTTGCCCAGGTCCTCTCTACTGAGTCTAAACTAAGATGTACACCCCTTCGTTCCCCCTCCCTTCTACGTTC